TCGTCCATCAACCGCGTCGTCCAGGCGCTCAAGGTCATGACGGACGCGGTGCCGCACTGGTCCAACACAAAGAACTCCGGGGCGATGACGCACGAGCAGCTGCTCGACGAGCTCATGGCGTACCTCTGCTTTGGCATCGAGCGCGTCGGCCGCGTCATGGTGATGCCCGAGACGCCCATGGAGTGGCTGCTCTTGGGGCAGCGCCTGCGCGACATCCTCGTACGACCGCTTCATGCAGGACTTTGCGCGCTTCCCCAACGCCTTTCCGCTGGCCACGTTTACGCAGGTGCGCGCGTCGCACTACACGGCGCTTCCGATGCTCCCGATGCCGTTTGGCGCCAACAGCTTGTTTGAGTAAACCATTGGCGACCTCAGTAGCGTGCTGCAAGGAGGAATAACCCTACAGTAATCACTGCTACTGGATGGTTTCGCCTGCCATCAATGGTTGCCCGACGTGCATACATACCGTATCAGCGATGGACTCGTGCCGGTGGACGGCGAGGCGTTTCTGACCTACCCCTAGCGTCTCGTCGCGCCTGATTGTAGCGGGTTGTGCAGACTGTCCGATGGAGTTAATGTCCGGACGTCGCGGCGTAGCTCATGTATTTCGGATGTGCTAGCTAGTATCTGTACTCTTGGGACAGCCTACCGGCGCCTCGAGGTCCAGCGATGCTCGTCCGAAGCCAAGTGCGAGCACATTAACGCTTAAACGGCCAATCAAATCTATTGGACATTCGGATCGCTGGCATGAGCCTGCTATGTACACTGTTTGATTCGTGCGGACTAGGCCATCGACGCCGCAAGGGCCAGCGCCGTGAACACGAGACCTGGACCGGTGGCGGTGGCGCTGCTGGTTACCGTGGAGGGTGCAGGTGTGTTTGCAATCGACTCGGATGCCTTTGTGGTGCTCGGAGGTGCTGGTGTGCGCAAGGACGTCGTCGTTGGGGCGGGTGTCATGGCCTTGGGCGTTGGGCTGGGTGTCGGTTGTCGTAACCGGCGTGGTTGACGAGCCGCTGGACGAGTCGCTGGGTCCGTACGCAACGGCAATGGTCACGATACCTATTTTGGCGTCCATTGAAGGAAAGTCTGTCGAGGCGACACCGCCGATGGTGCATGTCGGCTTGAAGGCCGCAACCGCAGCCGCCGTTTTCTTGTACAAGGCCTCGCAATTGGCGTTCTTCCACGTCTTGCCTTTGTCGTCGTCAAGCGCAGCTGCGCAGTCCCTCCAGTCGAAGGTGGCGAAGAGGTTATCGATGAGGGCAACGGCGCACGGGGCCTTCGCGGCCGATACGGCAGCAGCCAGCACCAACGTGAGGACGGCGAGTAGCTTCGTCATGGGTATGGATGTCTCGAGTCAAATGGGAAAGTGAACGCATCCGTGAACGCGAAGATCTCGCTGACCACCAAAGTGCTGTCCCTCAACATCTGGTTCGCGATAAAGCATTGCACAGGTTTGTGACGACTCGGACCCGACACCACGGAACCTTTCTCTTTGGCAAGTACTAGTACTGTAGCTCGACCAAAGAGCTCGGAATTCCACACCCGTCGGCAAGGTTCGAGTGCGACGACAGCGCAACATCAACAACGTTTTGTGTGCTGGCATGCATTTTTCATACCTCTATGAAAGGGATGCGCTGCGGTCCTTGGGCGCAGCCGCGTCGAACGCGACAACCGTGGTGGCGGTGTGCATTTTTTCTACTTCCGGTGTAAATATGAGGATGGTCAAAACAAAAGGACTCGTTAGCAGCCTGCTAACGATTTGAGAAAACGGGCTCCAAAGCTTTTAGTGCTTTTGATTGGTTGCCAGAAAGCGATTTGATTGGTTGCTTCGAAAGGTGATGATAGGAGAGAGCCATTGATCGAGCTGAACGTCGGAGGCGGATAGGAGGTCGCTGATAGGCTACCCTAACTCCCTTTCGCGCCCGGTTAGCACAAAAAGTACGACGTTTCTGTCCATAAGAGCTACACCAGTCGTTCCCCATAGAATATGGATCAATTATCGATTAGTACTCCAAAACCGTCTCAAATATGCCAACGCGGCCTTTTGTTTTGACTGACCTCATATCACTCGATTCGCCGATTTGGCGTGTGGTACGCTCGCCTCCTTGGATTGTGGCCAAGGTCGTGTTGCCCGGTCAATTCCTCCATTGCGATGGTGTACCACTGCCAAGACCATGACGATTTGCCACACTGCCTCGTTGAAGAGCCCGATCATCCTTCGGCTTCTCAATCAATACTCTGTACGCTTGGCCACGCCGGCGTCGTAGCGTCGCTCAACCGAGGGTCCACCACGTCCAAGGTCCTCCGGCAACTTACTTTTGCGCAATATCTTTCTTCATAGACGACGACGACCCACTTCAGGAGAGCAACATCAAGCAGTCACCCAACGAAGACACGATACTGCATTCTGTCTTGTGCGTGAGCGATATGTTCCGTCGCTCCACTCCAAGCAGCCCATTGCACGGGGTTGCGGCGGTTGAAATGCAACCAATAAATTTTGAACCTCTTGCACACGCTCGTGGAGTTGATTGGATTCCGACCCTCGTGCTACTTGAAGTGGTGTGATGGGGCTAGTAAAGCTAGTACACAGTAGTGTACGCTTACATTACGATCAATATGCACCTTTTCGGCTGGATTTGGGTGACGCCATTCCAAGGGCAACTGGTGCCTTAGGCCATGGCGCGCTCCGGCGCGCTGTGTGCTCTGTGATTTACGTCCATAGCTGTGTTTGTGCTGGTCGCTGACAGCGGTCGGTGGTCGCGCCGACGTCGCCGCTCTTCGCGCGCTCGGCACCCAATGCCCCTCGACGATTTAAGGCCCGTCGAGTCCCCGGCGGCAGTGAAGGAGATTTGCGCAGCTCACTCACAAAGACCAAGTGCTGGTACCAGCTCCCACGCAGTCAGCCTATGCGAAGTCTTTGAGTTAGTTTAGGCTAATTTGATGCGAATACGATTGTTTGACTGATCGATTGATTGATAAGTTGATAGATAGGTTGATTTATTAGTTGACTGATTGACTGATTTGATTGATTGATTGATTGATATGCATATTGTGGTGGTGGCGGTAATACGTCTACCGACTCGAGTGGTTGTGCCTCAATACAATCAAGACGCCATGAATCCACTAGTGAAATTATCCTGGTAGGAACGTTTACGTGGTGTACCAGCATCCCAGGGGATTAATTCGGCGTGTCGTGTCTCAATCCGGCCAACCCATTGGTCATAATTCCAGATTTTCTGACCAATGAAACGCAGTTTCATTGGTCTCAGCCAATCGCATCGCGCGGAACATGTCCTGTGAAGTGCGATTTTGTAGTCCCTGTGAAGTGCTGTCACATGATGGACATTATACTTGATTTTCAATTAAGTACGACGCACTTATCCGGGGTACATTGTTAAGTGCGTTGGAGCCGCACCTATAAGAGCCTTTGAGCGCGTCTAGATTTCGGGACAGCAGAAGCGCTCGGAGACGATCGTCATGGCAAGGACGCCCTCTAGTACCATACCATGGGGCCTCATGGGAAGCAGGTGAAGCCACGAACGGTGTACGAGGCGGAGCTCTTCCAGGCGTGGCAAGCGCAGAGGAGGCAAGAGACCCGAAGGATGGCAAGATTCGCGAAGCGTGAGCAATCCGCCGCAGCGACCTTATCGACGGAGGCCAACTCGACTCATGACGAAGGCGTCAAAGATGCTCTGGAAGTGCCAGGTGACCCAGATGACCCAGGTGTGATGCCACATTGAAGACTGCAACAAGCGACGACGGCGCGTTGGCCCGGAAAAGTCTGC